ATGGTGCGAGTAACATCTACATCTCCCCCAAACAAAATGTCAAAAACAGATGCAGGGGAGCGGGAGAGAAAGGGAGAGAGGAAGAAGTTTTTTCAACTTTTAATAATGGACTCTGTATGAGAGTTGGGTATCTCACTTCTGATGGATGTTAAGTTCATTTGGTGAATGACATGTACAATGATATAATTTATGATGTGGAACCTGCACACACTTGTTTATCTCAATAGCAAGTCTAGATCCAGTCCCTGATGTTAAGAACTTATAGTGTCAAAATAAAGTTTTAGTTCCTTATTGCTAGCATATAAAATTCAAACTGTATTTGATATATGAAACATATTCCAACAGAAAATTGTTTTTAAATCATGAAGTTATTCAGGGACAAGGAAAACTTTTGGGAACACTGCATTTTCTCGTCTTTCGATGTGCTTAATATATTGCACTATCTACTTGCCCTGTTCCCCAAGCCAAACTTCAAGATGATTTTAATTTCAGTCTCAGCAATATAAACCAAATGAATTTCTCTCCGTAATTTCTTGTTCTAAAGCCAGATCCAAACCTACAATGGATTCTAAAAAAATTGGAACTGTACAGGACTAACCTAGCATAAAAAAATCCTACCAGCTTTATATCCTAAAGACTAGTTAACCTTGAAGGGTTGCTCAATTGGTCAGTCCTTGAGTTTGCTCCCCAATGATCACCAATTTGAGTCCCCTCAGGGGCACTGAGCTGAGTATCCAGCCATAAACTTCAGGCCTCGTGGGATTAGTCGAGGACATCCACGGTTATTAAAAAAAAAATATCCTAAAGACTAGTCCATTTTTCTCTGAATTATTAATATAACAGATGCTAATTTTAAAATGAACTATCAGACTATTATCATCGAATATGAATATAATCTATTTTAAATTTCATAGTTCCTATATTATATCATCTGTTGAATATTGGAGGAATGTATTTGTTTAAATTTCAATAGCAACAAAAATAAGATAAGTTTTATTGGATAAAAAAGAACAAGGGCTTACTTATCAAAAAAAAAAAAAAAAGAACAAGGGCCATTAGATGGTAAAAAATAATTTAAGCAGAAAAAGATTAGTTTGTAAGGTTCTAATCTATAGAAAATTCAAGGACTATGAACAGACACATTGCTGATGGCACTGTTGGAACAACTCAAGGCAAACAGGACATAAACAAACCTGGACAGCTGAAACCAACGAGATTGCAGTTCCAGTAAGCGATGGCGGGTTTGACAACTTGGATGCTGGATTAGCTGAATATGCTGAAGAAGATGCTGAAAGAACCTTTAGAGCCTACAAAATGGATGGAAAACCATAGAGAAAAAGTCATGAATGCGAAGCCGTCATCATCCAAATATATCAATTTACATATACTTCTAGAAGTAATGTTGGTAGTATGCAAAAGATAGTCACGATTATCTTCAACATTACCAAACTATTGCCCGGATTCAGTGAATGCCCGGTCCCTTTGAAAAGCACAGGGGCCTGTACAATAAATATAGAAGGAAATTAAACAAGTGAATGCAGAGCTTGTTGTCATTGGTTAAATATGTTATTCATGGAAAGTTCAATGAACTTGGACACTGATGCCAACTATCAAACAATGTAAAAAAACTTTTACAGCTAAAGTACCTACATTCTGAGAAAAAGAATTCTAGAATAGACATCGGTCACATAAATACCCAAGTACAGCAAGTACAAGACTAAGCAATGTGCACTAATGAGCTGGCATATAGTACGGCAACAATAGAACAGATGAATTGGTATCTTAAAAAATAACCTCAATCTTAGTACTTCCCAAAATAACATCGGAAGGAACAAAATCATCAGCAGCTATTAGTGTGTGGTCTCCCTCGATTTGTGAGACAGCATATCCAGTGTGATCGATAACCATAGCAGAGGGATCCTATGAGAAGAAACGCCACCACAGACAATGTGAGGATGAAAAGACCATGCCAAAAGATATAATGCATAAGAACCAAGAGTTCAATACATTCATTTATGAAGAAGCTTCACAGATTCGGTAATCAAAGAAGAAGAAATAAGCAAGGTTTGATAGCTGAGTTATCTAATTGTTTAATGATGACATAAAAGATGACCAGACACTACCAACCCATAACTTGACTCTCATGATACAAAGAATTACTGAATAACTTAGAATGATTTATTCTCATAGTAAAAGTATAAATCTGTAAAAACTTCTAATTTTTAAACCTTGCAATTTGAAGTACTCCCACCATTTATTGTTGACAGCACAAGTTATGATCTTCGACTAGTAGTAGAGCAGATAATTTTTTATTAAATGAGCCAAAAGATAATACAAATATTTTACAAGAAAGAAAATTTGTCAAACATGAAATAATATTGGATAACAATTACAACTTACATCGTAGCTAAGCTACCCAATGTCTTGTGGCAAGGCCTTACAATTGGATTTGGAAATTAACCCCATTAAATTTGTATTATTATTTTAGAATTCCACATTCAAAAACCGCAACAAAACAGGAAAAATAAATTAAACTAACCTCATCGAAATCGACCCCACATTCAGCCGCAACACTCCGGATCAAATCCGATGCACTGACATCCGCGGCCAATATTAAGTCATGCCCCGAGTCAACGAAATCCAAAACCCCCTCCAAATCCAACGACCCTCCAAACCCTACACAAATATTTCAACAATCAAAACAACAAAACCCATTAAAAAACATAACTTGATCCAGACTCCCAAGTATACTGATACATAACAAATTAATTGACTTACGGTCAGTGGAAGGCGAGAAGAGAATGAGCCCATCATACAAGTATTGTCCATATCGCTTGACAGCGATTGAAGGGTCATCCGCTAGCTTGAAATCGAGGTCGAAACCACGGGACTGTAGTGAGGTGAAGAAAATTGAATGCGAGGATTTGAGGGCTAGATCGTCGAGAAGGACTAGAATGCGACGATCTGTTGGGTAATCGGGGGAGAAGGAGACAGTTGGGAGCGGCAGAAAAGAGAGCAGATTCAGCATAAGCAAGGAAATGGTTGGGAATTTTCTTCCTACCATCTTGTGTTTTGCGGGGGATTAGGGAATGAAATCTCCACACACACTCTACTTGTATAATTGTTAAAACAGTATTAGAGGACTAGGGATTGGACCGCTGACTAGAAACTGCATAATTGCAGTACGTCCGTTTCAACTAGAATCGCATTTATTGAACATGCGATTCATGTGCCGTAGGCGTGTGTGTTCATTTTCAATCTGAGGCCCTGTTTGGGAGGAATTAAATTTTTCTACAGTAAATCAATTCTCATTTTCAACCACACATTCTTCAATAAAATAATATTTTCCATCACATCAATAATTTTTTCTTCTTTTTCAACCACACATTTCCCATCATATCACTATTCAAAATCAATTCTT